TTTTTCAACAAATATATGTAATGATCTCTTGACAATCCGATGTGTAAGTTACGCTGCGGTTGAGTGAGGTACAGACTCGCGGTGTTTCTGGAGAGATACATAGTATTCGCAGAATGTAAATTCCGTGAGGGGAATTTGTGCAGTCGCCCGTGTAGACATTTGGGTTGATCCAACATCGTATTTACAAATTCTTTTTTTTTTTAACCTGTAGGCTGAATCCTCTGAAATTGATGTAATATGTAAATTATCGAATGTTATCTCTAAAAAACCTGAAACGTTCATCGGATTTCTTGTCTCAAACGTACCATTAAGTGATTATGCATTTAACGATCTTTTATGGAATGGTCCTTCCCAATTCAATTTGAAACACCACCTCAATCTTTGAATATACTAATTTTTATAATATCCAATTTACTAAAAACAATTTCTGCAGTTCATACATTACCAAATATAAATTTAGAAGTTTTAAATAAAAAGCCAATACATTACAGCATTTGGTATTTATTCTTTTGATATAATTATGTGAAAAATTTTATCCGGAAAACTTGTATCTTACGATTAAATTATAGTAATAATGTATTATTTCAAGTATTAATTTGCTGTGATAATTTGCGACCAAATATTTTCGAGAATGCGTCAAAATGTTATATAAATTTAAAGAAAGAATGCTACTGGTAATTGTGATTCAGAAATAGTTGATTTGTATTGCTACTAAGAACGACAATCAAAATTTTTGCTAATGAAGTCGCGGCCGCTTATGATGCAAAAAATGGTCCTTGGTTAACTTTACTATCGTGTGTCTATTCAAATTAGTAAAATAATTTCAGGTTTGAAATATTTCAACACTATAACATTACGGCAAATATAGCACATGCCATTGCCATATTAATTTACAAGCCTAATTCTGCCAATTACTAGATCTTTATACTCATATATAAGTATAAAGATGGTTGACGCAACTGCAACAAAATTGTTCCCGATTTTCATTGGTTAACAGCCGCGATCTACACAATTATGGCCAACATTACATAAGGCCATAGAAACTCAATAAATCGGTTCTTATCGTTATAAAATTTTAAGTGACCCAGTAACCCGGTTTTGTCAAAAAAAAAAATCATGGATATACTTAAAATTTTTTGTAAAATTTGACCCAGCCGGGTTTGTATGATCTAATTGTTTACATAATTTTTGACCAGAATTAACTTATTTTAACTTTTTCGTTCCAAAAAATAGGAAATTTTGAAAATAATTGTCATTATGTATTTGATGTTTGTAAAGTAATGCACGAATTGCATATTATGGTTGTGTTGTATATAAAGTAGATGGATGAATATTAAATATTTATCATTATGCTTATGCATTGCCTAAATGAAAAAAAACTAAGTGATGTTCTATAACTTAGCAATGAGCAATATAAAAATTTGAATAATTATTATAAACAAATTATTGTAGATGGTTAAGTATAAGTTATTATAATAAATTTAAAATTTTTAATATTTATATAATCATCATATTATTAGTTTAATAATCTTATCATCAAAGCTAAATTTATATGTTCTAATAATTTAATTAAATCAAAATAAAAATAATAAAATTACTATTTTTATTAATATTTTAAAATTTATTAAAATATTTTTGTATAAAACTACAATTTAACAAACTTAATCAGCAGTAAACTATTGATTTTTTTACAATTAAAATTATTAATATATATTTTTTGGCTGGAGTTATTACCTATTTTAATACAAATAATACCTATATAAATTTTTTAAAATTGTTAAACATTTTTTAAAAAAGTATATCTAGATTAAAAAAATTTACAATATAAATTTAATTGATATTTTCAAGAATTAATAATTTTAAGATTTATACTTTTTACAAATAGTTATTTTTAATAAATTTCTTTATAGATCATATTAAACAGTTATTATTTTTAATATTATAATATTTTTTACTTTTAGTAAATTATTTTTAAAAAATAATAATATAAGTAAATAAACAAGAAAGTTTATTATATAAAGAACCAAGTTTATAATAATTAAAGTTAATCTATAAAACAGATTATAATACTTTTTATAGTTGTGATATTTGAATATATAATAAGTATATTTATAAATAAAATTCTATATCTTTAAACTTTATTTTTTTAAGAATATATTACTATAATATATTATAAAATTTAAATTTATATTACAATAAATAGTTAATTTATTTAGAATGAGTTTTATTTTTATATTTACAAACTTAAATTTTTTTTAAATATATTTATTATTACAATTACATGTTATTTAATCTTTAACACTTTGTATTTATAACATTAATTAAATTAAATTATGTAAAGAATGGTGATCCTAATGTAGTAGTTGGGTTGTCATCTTTTAAGTGGCAGGTTTAAGGTTCAAATTCTATTTATAATGAATTTTAAAAATTAATCTGTATTATAAATTTGTCGATTAGTTAAATTTAGGTATCAGTAATTTTGGATACAACCAATCAGGTTCTACTTATTATTGGAGGCTTAGAGCATTTATATAAAGTGTAATATTTTATGTATATAAAGAAATGTTAATAACTAATGTTATATAAGACTTTAGTACAAACCTATGATAAGACCACTAGATGCAGAAAACCAATAAACTGAAGAGATGGAATCTTATTTGAAAATTCCTAAGTAAAAAGATAATACAAATTTTTGACAATGCTGTTGGACTGATGAAAGCCCAAAAAACTCAATAAGAAATAGGCTAATATGCAACTAGATGACAAGATGTATAGAGGAGCACATACCAACCAGGCTGCCAGAATCACTGAAGAAAAAAAATATCAAAAGGTAAATTATATTGAGTCATCTGGATTGAAAATTTGAAGAGTTAATCAAACTCTGAGTTAGATAGTAGGAGAATGAAGAGAAGAAATCAGAAAAATAGATACTGGGGTTTGAATAAACTTTATAAAGGTAAAAATAGTATAACATAGCAGTTTAATAAATAACTTTTGTAACTACAAAGATTAGATAACTATAGCATATTATATAAAACTAGATTAGTATATATAGGACATAAAGGCTTTAATAAGTCTTTTGTCAAAGATAAAGTAGTTCTAAGATATTGATGAGTATTGAAAACTTGGATGAGTGTAGTCTTAAGATGTTTCTGTGATACAAGATAGATTGCATATGCAGAATGTTTAAATAAATAAGACTCCTAGCTAGCCTGCAGTTATGGCATCTAGTATAAAACTTATATAGCATAAGTGGACTACTTAAATTAGATACCAAAAGTGCACATATGACTAGTTGTAAACTTCTATATAAAGGAGCTCTTAATGGCATCTATATTCTATAACTTAAATAAAATAGTCACAACCTTAAAATAAGAAACTTTAATTTAAAAAAAAAAAATTTTAAATTATTGTAAATATTATATATATTTATTATATAAATTTAAACTTTTATTTGATTATTTTATCTTATAATTATCTGATTATAAATACTATTTATTAATATCTATTTTTATAAATATTCTTTAATATATAACAATATACAAAATATTAAATTTATAATATTATAAAATATAAAAACTGTCTTATCTAACTATAATACATAATATGTACTATTATATTCTAAAAATAATTTAATTTTATATAATATTATACCTATTACAATTAATTTATAATTATCTTTTGGGCATTAGTTTATGGTGACCTGTCATTATAATAACCCTTATGATCGACCAATCAGATTACATAAAAAATCATCAAAACAATAATAAAATTTAAAATTTTTTAATTATATCTTAACAACTATTTATTTAAATTTAATAAATTTTTTTTTATTTAAATTCTATAGATCTATAGAATTTAAATAAAAAAACTTTTCAGCAAATTTGATCAAGTTGTTGCTGAAATACTTTTGATCAAAGTTATTTTTTTAAATTTTAAAACATTTATTATATAACACTTATATTAAAATTTTTAATAAAACTTTAATTAAAGATATCTTAGCAACTATTTAATCAAATTTGATAAAATTTTTTTATTTGAATTCTACAGATCTATAGAATTTAGATAAAAAAATCCATTAAATTTTATTAAATAGTTGTTAAGATATCTTTAATTAAAGTTATTTTTAAATTTTTTTTTTGATATTAAGGTGAGGCCTTGCTCATATCTTTATTAATAATTTTAACTATATATTTTAGTACAAAAGTACTGAAATAAAC